AAAAGAAAAATAAAAATAAAAATAAAACTCTTTCCTGGCTACCTCTAAATAATTTCTCTCTCTCTCTCTCTCTCTCTCTCTGCAATATGAGTTGTGCAGAAACGCTCGTATCCCGGGGAGAAAGCTTTTGAACGAAGGCATCTTAACATTTCAATTACAATTAAGAGGTTTTCTTTTTTTTTAAAGAAAAAAAAATATTGATTAGGGAAAATACATCCCTGATAGCAGTGGTCAATAGATTAATTAATCATCCGCTTCTGACAGCTTAACAGTGTGCTTAATGTGTCTGCCGCTCATTGAGTTATGCATTCCCCTTTTCTTAAGCGGTGATCCGGGGATTGGAATTCGCAGCAGCTTTGAAACACCACGTTTGTCTGGCTTTCAAAAAGGAACATAAAAATAAAGAAATAAATAAAAGGAAATAAGGAAAGGAAGGCAACCGCAGAGGACGGACATCTTCAAATGGGCAACGCAAACAACAAACCAAGCTTTGAAACACGGATTTTCCGAGGGGTTCAAAAGAACTGAAATCTTGTTTCACACAGTCCGGGTTACACAAGAGTAGGGTTCCCACACGTTTAGAGAAAACATCCGAGGAAAGCCAAAGGAAACATGTATTGAGAGAGACGGTTCAGTTACGCTACAGCCAGAAGAACTTTTGCCTTCTAAGTTAACGAGAGAGGGAAACCATATACCTTCTTTCTTTTTTCCTCTCTCTCCATCTTTCCCTCTCCTTCTTTCCTTTCTTATCATATTCTCTCTCCACCTTCCTCTTCCTTCCTTCTTTCCCTCCTCTCTCACCTTCTCCTCTCCTTCCTTCTTCTCTCCACTTTCCCCTCTCCTTCCTTACCATACTCTCTCTCCATCTTCTCCTCTTCCTTGCTCTCTTTCCACTTACCCATCTCCTTCCTTCCTCTCTCCACTTTCCCCCTCCTTTCTTCCTTCCTTCCTTCCTCTCTCCCTTTCTTACCATACTCTTTCTCCATCTTCCCCCTCCTTCCTTCTTTCCCCTCTCTCCACCTTCCCCTCTCTTTCCTTCCTTCCTTCCTCTCCACTTTCCACTCCCTCCTTTCCATATTTCCTTCCTCTCCCTTCCTTCCTTTCTTACCATACTCTCTCTCCATCTTCCCCTCCTTCCTTCTTTCTTTCCTCTCTCTCCATCTTCCCACCTTTCTTTCCCCTCTCTTCACTTTCCCCTCTCCTTCCTTCCTCTCTCCACTTTCCCTTCTTTCTTTCTTNCGACCAACCGGTTCGCGGGGACGGGCGCGAACCAGTTGAAACCCACCCCTGACCTCACCCTATTCCTAAGAGGTCCGTAAAGGGGGCGTGCATAAGCGCACCAGCGTGCCTTCTGCCCCTGTCCCACTGTCCCCATTTGTTCGTACCCATTTACTGTGTTCATATTTCTGTTTATGCTTATTATACCTGTCGGCTTTTACATGTTTGACAAACTAAATAAAATAAAATAAATACATTCTAATTGGATTTCGTTCAGGGCAGCGTGCAGGCTCTCGAGATCGGTGTCATCCCTTTTGAGATAGGACAGGTCAAGAAGCAGACATGGCAGAGATCCCAGAAAATGCAGCTTTATTCTTGTAAGGTAGAATAACAGAATATGGAAATCCTATCCCTAAGGTTTTAATCTGCTGCAATACATCTAATGCCAAGCAAGGTAAAGTCAGAGCCATTCCATTTTCTTTCTCAACTGCCCTAACAGCCCACTTTACTAACATTAGCAATTTTCTTCCAATTGAAAAGAGAAAGAGAGGAGACACACCTTGGCAAAACAAGATCGGTGCTAGAGGTTATGCATGTTTATTCTTCGGAATGACCAGTGCAATCCCTTGTGTACCTGCTCAGGTGTTCAGCCGTCAACCGTACCTGCAAGCAAGTGAACATTGCTGAAGCTTTTCTCCAATTTTCTCAGCAGGAGACTCAGGAAGGAATCGGAAGGGACAGTCGCCAGATCCGTTGAGTTCTGATCATACACCACAACTTCCTGTTTGCCATCGATTTCAACCTGAGACAAGTCATGGGGAAGACACAATAAATAGTTTTCAATTTAGTCCAAGTTTTACTTTTCTGCTAAGGTTTTTCTGAATGACACCATTACTGTACACATTCTGTTCTGACCGAGGCTTCCCCAAAAAGCACGAGGCAATGTCCTGGTTCCAACAAAACCCCTTTTATTAAACGAATGTGAATTCCTCTCATTCCCATTCAGCAAAGGCCTGGTAAACAATCTTTCAAAGGAGTAATTATGACTACCGACCTTATCTATCTTGGAAAGTTGCCATGTAAATATTTCTCAAATGAGGTGTTGCGCAAGGAAAGATTTAGCACAGAGTCTCTGAGATTCACGGATAGATCATCTCACTCCTGAGATGAATCTAATGACCGAAAGAACAAATTGTTTCCTGCAAAAGCCCACTCCCCTTTCGCTCC